TTGGATAGACAGTCAATCCATCAGGCTGCCAAGGAGAATACAAGTTCTGCTCATGGCAAGGGAATTGTGGTTTTTAACTACACTGCTACTGAAGTTCTGAATGAAAGAACAGGCCCTGTTGAAACAAAAGAAGTATGAAACCTTCTGTCTGATGTGTCTTGACAAGGCACTTGAGCGGTATTCAACACTCAAATTATTACAGAAAGAACTGGGTGATTCAAGAGACCTGAACGAGGAAAATATTGAATTAACTGTCATCTCTGATGAAGCAGAATGGAGCAGGCACTCCCATTTTTAAAAAAAGATTATTAAAGTTTTCACATAATGCCTCTCAGCTGCTTTTTGAATTCATTTTTTAAGACTTTAAGACCGTCCAAACGTGGGAGCTGCAGAACTCCACTGCATTGTGTTCTTCACTGTCACTCTCAAGTGCTCCAAAAGGTGACAGAAGTGCCCCTCAGCCTGCAGTGACTAATGCCTGGCTGTCAGCTCTGGGCTCCTGTGTTCACACATCTCCTGGCCTCAGCTTCTCCCTGGGCTGGCCATGGCTAGGGTTACTTTACTGCAAGGGGCTTATTATGAATAAAAGGATAGCAGGGTGGCTGTGTTACCTCAGGACTGACCATTCTGCCATGCCTGGTGATGTGGCCCAGACACTTGCAGTAGTTCCACCTGGAAGCAGCTGTCCTTGCACAAAAAGCCAGGGATAATCATATGCTGGAGAGATGGAGTGCTTGAGCTCAGCTCCCTGCTGTGCCATTACTTTTTAATTTGGAATTGCCAGGAAAGATGCAAGTCCAACACGAATTCTTGTCTTTAAAACACTAAAATGAGCCAGAAATCACAGGCTTTAAGTGTTCCAGGCATTTTAATGATGGTGAAGGTCAAAAACAAAGTGCAGACTGTGGCAGTGAGGGGGTGTCAGAGACAAATTGTTATTTCCACTGCAGGAAGTGGACAGAGAAGGGAGGCCTGCAGTCAGCACTAACACAGAGGACATTGCCAGGCATGACTCCATCATTTCCCTGCAGCTCAGAAAGTCCAAGGATTTTGGGTCCTCCCATCCTTATAGCGACAGTTAGAGGGATTACAGAAAGGGGAAGTGGAGGTTTTAGAGAAGGGGGCTCTGGGATATGGTGGTGCTGGGACAGGCAATTTCTCTTTGATTATCTTATCAGCTCCAGCTGGGAGAGTGGGAGGAGAGAGGGGAACAGGTGGTTCCTGAGTCCACCCAGAAGGTGTTGCAGTCAAAATTCTAGAGCTGAGAGGAGGGTAGAAAGTGAAAGGTTAAAGCTTTTTGCTTCATTTGGAGTGGTTTTTTATTTGTTTTATTTATGTTTAGCTTGCACTGTGTTCATGCAGGGCTTTTGAGCTGACAATAGGATGTGTATTTGTGAAAGGTGTTGGAAAAGCCCTGGTGGATGCCTTGAGCTCTTCCTGGGTGAGTAAACATTGTACTGGCTCACGCTATGGCAACAGAAAAAATAGCAATACTTCAGCAAGTTCTTACTCCTTGTTTGGGTAACACAGCCTTCTGAGAGAGGGGAACAGGTGGTTCCTGAGTCCACCCAGAAGGTGTTGCAGTCAAAATTCTAGAGCTGAGAGGAGGGTAGAAAGTGAAAGGTTAAAGCTTTTTGCTTCATTTGGAGTGGTTTTTTATTTGTTTTATTTATGAAAAGATAAATGCCTTAGCTTGCAGGGCTTTTGAGCTGACAATAGGATTTGTATTTGTGAAAGGTGTTGGAAAAGCCCTGGTGGATGCCTTGAGCTCTTCCTGGGTGAGTAAACATTGTACTGGCTCACGCTATGGCAACAGAAAAAATAGCAATACTTCAGCAAGTTCTTACTCCTTGTTTGGGTAACACAGCCTTCTTTGTGCTCAGTTAAAGGCAAACTTTAAAGGTGAAAGCTTTGTATTTTTTCTGTGTGGCTCTCTGAGACAGCATAAAAAGACATTTCCAGGGATTTTTTTGCAAATCACTGATGCCAATGATACTGGACTCGTGTGGCTGGGAACCAGTATCATTGACAAGTACACAAAGTCACTGTTTCTGCAAATTAGCTGAAGAATTCTTTTGCCTTTGAAAATCAAGCACTGAGAGAATATATTGGCAGGCAGGAAAGGGAGAAATTAATTTGCAGAGGCTCGCTAGGCTCAAGATAGAACTCCACTAAGCTGGGAAAAACAGCTTTCTGTGGCTCTGCTGAGTTCCTGTTCATTACTTAGCCAGACATGACCTTGCACAACTTCTTCAACACCAGGGACTAGGGAGATCTTCTGTGGTAAACAGAGCCCATAATAACCCTGTTCTCTAATCTCTGCTCCTGTAGCTGATGCCATCCTTTATGAAAGTGTGTGTGTGTATATATATATCTCCCTGAGGCACCTAATTGAGAAATGGCTTTGTGAAGGAATAAGAACATTTGGGTTGCAGGAAGTAATTACACAGGCACAGGTTGACTTGCTTGATTAGTGTTACATGCCAATATTGCTATCAGGAGACTGGCTGTATATTAAAGCATTCCTGAGGGATTTGGGTGGGCATGGCACCTTTGGAGAGCGTAGCAGAGTCCCTAAATCTCTGCTCTCTGTGAGCAGCCACAGTCCCTCCTCCCAAAGGCAGGGCAAGGCTTTGCCATCACTGAAATATCAGCCTCCTAAGTAGTTATTTTTGCCTCTCAAGCAAAACTGCTGTGCCTTAAAGGGTGAAGGCAGGTCTGCTGGTTCTTAATTGTCTCCTTCCCCAGTGACCTGGGAGATTGTTCTCTAACTGGCTGTAATTACCTTTTCTGTAAACTAACCACAGTGCACTCTGCTTTGGGTGTTACGTTCATTAACAGGATTCTGTTCTGTGGGTTAATGTATGCTGGGAATGTCCACTCTGCAGGAACAGACTGATTTGTGTAGCAAGTGTTTGTGAGATACCCTGAGGAGCAAATCTTGTGCCAGGTAACTGATTCAAAATGAAATTCATAATATTGAGGACAGAGAATCTATGGGCGCTCAAGTTGCGGGGTGGATTTGTGTGAAACATTCACCTGAAAAGGGGAGATGAACTTTTTATTGTCCCTGAAAGCGAGCTTGAGGGGAAGGTTGGCTCTGAGCCTGTGCTTGCAGAAGATTTCTGCCTGTGGTTTGTGTTTGTGGCATGATCACTTGTGTGAGCTGAAGGGGGGATTTATGCTGTGAGTGGCACTTTTGGTGTTTTTGTGAGAAAAGTTGGCTGCTAATTTGGAACTGGAGCAATATGGGAAGAATGAGTGCTTCCCTTTGTACCCTGACTCAAACATAATGACTGAAAGAAGGCTCACCATGCATGGCTTGAAAAAAAAATAAATTAAAAAGGTCTGAATCCCAGCAGATGTTTTTTTTCATGTTATTGTCTAGATATTTAGCCGTGTGGACTGGTTGGTTTTCAGACAGAAAAAAGCATGCAGCACATAAATATAATTCTTAATGCTTTTAACAGCATCCAGCTCCTACTGCAGCCCCTGGATGTGGAGTTTTCTGCTGTGTCCCCTATAATGAGCATGGAATCATGGCTACTGTGCCAAGCACAGCTGGGAAGTTTGCCTAGCAATGCTGTTGACTGCTGGATAGTAATGGGGGTGGCTTGGGTTTTTTCCTGCATAATGAGGTGATTCTAGTGAGAGCTCAGCTCTGAGCTCAACCCTGTGTGGACACTGCTCTGCTGGCAGTGGGGGCCCTTGAGCTGCTGTGGAACCGTGACAGGCTTCCTTAGTGCAGCAAGCCATAGAAAGGCGCTCTCAAAAAGGTGCAGGCAGGGAGCTATTGCTGAAAAACTTGTTTCACAAGTGCCTTTGGAGTGAATTTCCTCCTGTGTATGTGCCCTTGCTCAGAGCATTTCCCCATGTGTTTCCAGAGAGAGAGCACTTGAATGCTGGGCTTGTGCACAGTGCTCAGATCTCAAAGGCACCAGGCACTCCAAGTGCTTGGCGCTCAGAATCAGCCCTGATGAGCATTCATACACCTGGTTTGGCTAATGGAATTACCCCAAGTGTTCTGATGTGCAAAATTGTTTCAATTGTATGTGAGACTACTGCTCTTGCTGGGTATTGGGATATTCCAATGGTCTGTAGAGGAGGCAGATGAATATAGAAATTGTAGAAATGGAAATAAGGGTTTAGAAATTAAATAGAAATCTGCTTTTAAAAAACAAAAGGCTTGCTTATTGTTCCTGAAAGCATTGGGTATTTACAGGAAAAACCCTCCAGAATAAAGGCTGGAGAATGTGATATTGCATGCCTAGGGATTCAATTAATCTCTGACTATGATTCCCACATGTGGAAAATGACAAGAAATAACTGTCATGCTGTTGAGCTCTGTCTATTCTTTCCAAGTTGCACACATCTTTGAAAATTACTCTGAACAAATTTAATGGTGTCCCTGGATACAATAAATCAGGAAAATAAGTGTAGAAGAGCCCCCAGTGAGTAGTCTGTGGGCCTTTCACTCTCTCAGATGGTTATGTCACTTGCTCAAGTGCACGCTGTGCTTCCACCCTGTAACTGGTAACTTTAAATGCTTACCTGCTAGTCTGGTAATGAAAATTCTCCTGCTACCTCTTAGAAGTCATGCTGGGGCTGTGACTTCTTCAGGCTCTTTTTTTTCCTTTTGCTCTTTTTGTTTTTTTAAAATTCAGTGATGGTGAGGTTTAACAAGGCAACAGTCTTGTGCTGTTCTGGCTACTTTACAGCAATGGTGAGAGAAATAATACAGAACAGGCCTCTAGAAGGTATTATATATATGTGCAACATACATGTGTATGCCCCTATGTACAAACATCCATCAATGCATGTATGTGGGGAAAATGGCTTTTAATCTCAGCTTGTGGTTTATCTATCTGCTGGCTGCACCTGTGCACTTCCAGCCCTTACCAGGAAAAAAAGCTTCTCAGCTTTTTCAAGCTTTGCCTCCTTTTAAACACCCATTAGCACACACACACATCTGGGATGGCATCCCCCAGTTCTTGCCTTACCTTCACATCGTTGATGTTCATCCTGGTCCCCTCCTTCCCGACAAAGATGTCGTCGATGTCAACCAGAATGTACCTCTCCAAGGAGAGCGTCAGCTTCTTTCCCGACAGGAAGGAGATGGCGTCGAGGAAGATGAGCTTGTGGAGCCAGAAGGTCAGGTTGTTCCCAAAGAGGACTCTCTGGATGCCGTCGTGCAGGCCCAGGTCCTGGATGACGGTTGCATAGAGAGCGGCCCTGGGCAGCGTGGCGGGGGTGGGCCTGGCGGGCTGCAGCTCGCTCAGCAGCACGGGCTGGAAGGTGGAGTGGTTGAACTGGAACACCGTCCAGTCCTCGCCGGGCAGCGGGCCCTGCTCCACCCTGGGCGCTTTGGTGATGCGCAGCAGGGGCGAGCGGGGGTTCACCACGCAGTCTCGGAGGGCCACGTTGTTGTACAGCTGTAACGGCAGCCCTTTCAGCCTGGTGCTCGGGGAGCTGTTCTCGTTGGCTTTATGAAAACCAATTATGCTAACACTGTATTCCACACAGTATTTTTCCAGAAGGTCTCTATTCCACGAGTCCATGGACACGTACTTTAAAATATTCTCGTATATAACAATCGTGTACTTCCCTCTCCCGTTGTCTGTGAGAGGGGGAATGTCTCCCTTGGCTGGTGCAATGACCATGTGGTACTGAAACTTGCTGGACTCGAGGATGGCTATGATGTCTTGCCCCAGCTGGGAGTACTGGCTTTCCACGAACAGGAGCACAGTGGGGTCAGTCCTAGAGGGATCAATTGGCTTAGGTGTTCTCAGCTCCGCAGACCTGTAGGGCAGAAGTTTGAGGTCCTCACACTCTGCTTGCCCAGTGGTTTCCACGAGGGCCATCTCCTGCTTGTAGCCAGTGTAGAGGAAATAGGCAGAGATGACAATACTTGCCAAGCAGAAGGTGGCCAGGAGAATGACCAGCGTTCGGAAGCTTCTGCGGAGCTTCCCAATGAGATTCATCTTTCGCAGGGCCTCCAGCTCCTGCTGGACTTGCAGCTCTTCCGGGTGCTCCTCCTAAAGTGCCATGGGAACGAGGAGTTGTGGAGGTTCCCCTTCCAAGGCGTTCATGTGACCATTGCAGTGCATTTATGAGGTGTTCAGGGAGGCTGTAAGGCTGTCGGAGGGAGAAGTCAAAGGATCCGGAAAGACAAATTGAAAGAGGTTTTCTCAGAGCGCAGCAGCTGCCAATAATCAATGAAGAGGACTCTTAACATTATCTGCAACAAGAAGTAAAAGAAGAGTAAGTAAAACAAAATCCATAAAGCAATTAAAAACACACATTAATAAGGCCGGTGATTGATACTGGTAATGTGAGTAAAGAGGGAAGTTTCTGAGTAGTTCAAGGAGCACTCAGTGTCACTTGCTTTCTTGGTGCATTAAGATAAGCTGCATTAAACAGCTCCCCTGTGTTCTTAGGATACAGAAAAAACTCGTTGAGGATGTGCATCTACTTATCAGCTGCTCTTATCTAAAATGCATTGTTGCTGTCGCAGATGGGAACAATGCAAGATTTTAGGGGTGAAATGTGAACAAAGTGAATCTTTGTTAGATCTGGGACCGTGTTCTGTGTCAAATTCAAACTGCATAAGACATAAATTCTGTGTTGGATTGGAAAACTATTTTGACCAAAGTGAAAGACACGACAGGAGTTTGAGGAGAGATTTGTAGGGTTTTCTCTCCAGTTTCCATTCTGCACTTGGAACCATCTGAGTTCATGATCCGGTTTAAGTACTATAGAGATTCTCTGGGGATTTTCCAAGTGAATGAGCAGGCTGCTAGCACTGTGGGGTGCAGCTGTGGTTGGCTCTGCCCCCATCAGGGATCAGTGGGAGGTGCTGTGTAGAAGGAGAAGTACTTCAAGGAAGCTGTTTTAGTGCTAGGTGGGCAGGTAGGTGGGGGATGTGCTGGTCCATGACACCTCTGGCTGAAGCCCTCGGCCTCTGGTCTGCTCCTGTATGGACGAAGAATGAGGTGCTTAAACCCCATTGCTCCCAAGTCCTTGTGCAATTCCTGGCAGTTCTGACTAAATTCATGAGAAATTGCCAGTGGTAACAGTAAACCCTGTGATTCAGAGGCAGTTAAAGCTAACTAAATAAATAGCCCATGCTGCTCTATGGATTTAAGTAGGAATTAACATCTTTGTGAATTATTGATATTGTTTGTCTATTGGAACAATGCGAGACAGTAAACAATGAATGGTTTTGGAACTGCAGGGAAGAAATGCTTTTTCCAGGCAGATCCTTCCCAGCTGACGTGTCCTCTTCCATTAACTCAGATTACACTTTTGACTTGTGTTCTGAAAACTATTTATTCATCTTAAGGTTTGCACCTAAAAGTGGAAAATGCTTGTAAGATGCATTTAGAAAGGAGGAGTTGTTTTCTGAGACCATTTGTGACTCTGGCAGGTTCAAGCTCTTATCTGATTTACCTTCCTCAGCTGGAAGATTGGAAGGAGATATTGATACCCCTGGATCGTGGGCTATTCCAGCAGTGACCCTGCTGTGTCACAAAACTGCCTAAGAGGGGAGTGAGGTAGGGACAGAAATAAGAAACCTCTTCTGCATTTACTAATTTATGTGTGAGAGAACAAATGTAGGAAGAATCACAAGCTACCATTAGGAAATTGAAGTCATCCTGATAATCTTAAGAGTATTTAACCTGCTCTGGTGCCTCCCTTGTTCTGCAATTGTCTGCTTGCTGGGATTTCACTTCTTATTAAACCTCCAATTAAGATTTCTTCAAAAGATAACACTGGATCAAGTGAAGCATCCTCTGCAAGGCGGTGTTGGAGTTTGGGTGACATTGAGCACTCACTCAGCCCGACCCCGAGGGTTTATCAGATCGGGACTCCTGCTCTCCCTGGGAGGGCCAGCCTCCAGGGCTGGGTGATGTGTCCCCCACCCCAAACATCTGACTGCAAGAAGCCTGTTCGTTCAGTACCAGACAGCCAGGTAACTGGGAAAGAATCTTGAATTTCCCCTCCTCGGGCTGTGCATCCTCGGCTTGCTTTGGGCACTAGAGGGCAATCGCTTCTTGCATTTGCGAGGCAGCACCTGCTCTCCCCTCGCTTTCCACGGCCCTGCCAGAAGGCTTCGGAAATCCCCAGGGCACGTAAAACACCTTAATTAAACCTCCGATGTTTAAAATTAAATAAAAGCCAGGAGTTCTGCTCGAAGAAATGTGCCGCTGGATCACGCTGGATGCTTTGCAAAGGTTTCAGCCTCCACCTGTGGCACGAGGGAATAGCTTGTGAGAAGACCTAAAATGGCACGGTTTTCCCCCAGTGTTTGGCCCTGCTGGATCTCCTGGGTGCTGGTATTGCAAGCTGCCAAAACAATAAACTTCACGAATATTACAGCTTGTGTTATTAAAACAGCAGAAGCTCCTGACTTTATACTAGTCAAAACAAAACTGTGTGTTCATCCCTAACTAATTCCTCCCAATAACACTGGTAAAATCTTATTGAGATAAAATACTAATAATCAGATTGCATGTTAGCTACTATCTGTTGTATGTAGATGTTATAATTAAATGCAAGTATTCCCACTTATTGAGATGTATAATTACATAAAATCGATAAAGAATTTAAACCTGCATAAGGAAACCTGGCATTGGAGCAGACCTTTTTTAGTCTGCACATTGTTTTTGAAGGGCTCTGTTGAACTGATTACACTGTTCAGTAAAAAAAAAGAATGGTGTGAAGTAATTAAAGGTTATGAAAATAAATCAGCTAAATTAGCCATTTCTCCAAGGCATAATTGGAAGTTAAGTGCCATTTGTGCCTTTGAAACTCTCCCCCTTAAAGTTCAACAGCTTTACATTCACTCCAGAATTCAACTATCTTTGGAGAGTTCCTGTGCTAGATGAGTTTGAGCAGCATGAAAATAGGCCATATTTCATAATTAGTGTTACTTATGGAGTTTCATTTTGGTAACTGGTATTTCAGGTCCTGTGGTCACTGATGAGCATTCACTGACTCTTGAGGGAGGTGAAGCCCAAAGCTGGGTACATTTGGTCGAGGTATCAAGGCTGCACTCATGCAGAGCTGGTCCTTCAGTAGATCTTGTCCATTCAGCTGATTTCCTCCATGTGGGGCCTTTGCCCAGCAGGAGCAGAACGCTGCAGTACGGCTCTGTTGTGATGTCAGAGACATCTGCAGGGAGTCTAATTTTTCTTTAATTCAGGCAGCTGAAGAAAAATGGAGGTTTAAAAATTGCTGCCTCCTTGCTAAATAACACTTCCTGCTTGCCCGCAGAAGCGCGTTTGATGGATGACTAAAGCGTGCTGATTTTGAAGATGATTGATTGGGAGATTAGGACTTGACTATTTAAAACTGATGGCACGACAGCCAAGAGAAGCAGCCCCTTGTTAATGCCATGTGTTAGCTGTGCAGCAGGAATTCAAGCTGACTCCTCGTGGGCCAGCTCCCACGGGCACAGCTTCCCCCGGGGCTTGGTGCCTGAGCCAGCAGACTTGCTGTGTGGGCTGGGGGAGCTCCTCTCACCTCTGATCGTGATCTCTGAGCTCCTCGAGCTTGCGGGGAGTAGAAATATTGATATGAAGCCATCAGCTGTGCTGGCTCACCCTGAGGATGGAGCTAATGGATTTGACGCCTGCAGCGGGTTCAGAGCGTGGCAGTGCCCAGCAGAGGAGCAGGACCCTCGTTGTTCCACAGCAGCGTGGCCATTCCCAATCTCCTGTCTGCACCACAGTGCGCTGCTGGGAACAATTCACCTGGAGGCAGGCCAGAGCTTTCCCTTCCTTACTCTGCCATAAATCAGAAGTCAGAATGTCTTTATTGTCTATATATAAAACTTCCCTTTAGGCTAAAAACCTAATGTAAAGCCTTTCCTCTTTTCTTTCCTTTCTAAGCTTGTATGACTCCTGTCATTTACTAGCAGCCCAATGAATCATGATAGCTGCCTTCCTGCTCCTTGCATGGGACTCCTCATTCATTACAGAAACAAGCAACCTGATTTGAGTGATAAATGACTGCTGGTGACCATTTGCAAAAATTCAGGCTTTCTGTTCACTGTGGAAGGAGAAAAAGAGCATTTTTCTTTTCTTTCTCTCAGAAAAGTTTCCAGGAGATTTTTTGGCTGAGCTCACAAAACTCACATCCTCTTTGAAAGTATTTTTTTTTTTCAAACTTTACAAAGCTGCAACGTGTTTTGTGTGTGTAAATGTGGCTTTGCTTGAGAGAGGTGTTGGTACCAGCTTCTCATAGCTCATCACAAGGTATTGGAAAGCTCTTTTTACCTAGGATAAGGTCAGCTTCTCAGCTGATAAGTGCTGTTGCAGATCTTGTGACTTGTATTTTATCATTTCTGAGTGGAGAGGCTGCTCAGTACTTTCACCTCTTTTGTTTCTTTTCAATGCATAATCATGTGTAAGTTAGACCCCCAATTTTTCGGCATTTTCAGCCATTTAATCAAGTCTGTATTGCACATGTAATCTTGTGTGATTTCAGAAAGCTAAATGATGCCAGAGGGTGAAGTCAATAATCAATGAATATAAAGCAAAGAGTTTGAAATACTTCAACCTGTGCACTTGATGAAAGCTGGTGTGATTCTAGTGTGAAACAACACTTGGAAGGGAGCTGTGTGACCCTTCTGACTTCTCTTTGGCTTTAAACTTTTCCAGATGATTTCAGAAAGTGATGTAAAGGCTCCCTGGTGGAGCAGTGGCTGGAGGGTGGTTTGGAGATAAGTTTTGCCCATAGGGATATTCTCACACGTGTGCATACCTATGCACATCCTTTTGTTCCCCAGCCCAAATGTCACATTTCACGTGGCTTAGCTCCTAGCAGGAAAGTGTTTTAATACTTTAGACCACCATTCTGGTGAGTGTTGCCTGATGTTCAGCCTCACCGCTTCCTCCTTCTGACCCATTAACTTCCAGCAGTCCCACAGCCATTTGGACCACCCAGAAAACTCCATAAATATCCCATCTGGGATGTT